GGAGGCGGTGTGAGGGAGTGGGGGTGGTGGGCCTCCCATTTGATTTGACCGGGAAGTCCGCACCTCCTTTCTTCCTCTTCCGTAGCTGCCCTCTTGGACGGCTGTGACATCTTTGTAGGGTTGGTTGGATATTGATCCTGTGTGGATTTCCACATGGATTGTGACATAATGAACAGATCGTCTGTTCTTCGATTTTCTTATTCCACACACACACACACACACACACACCTGTTAGTATCTACATTAGGCTCCTGTCTGCTTCATGATTGAATAACTGGGTGACTGTAACTAGCGGAAGTAAACGATTGTCGTGCGAGGTGATCATGATCTTTTCCTCTTCATTGCTATACCTTGAGTCTTCTCTCTGAGTGCTGGTGGGGGGTTGTTTACTTGTAGTTGCGTGTAGAACCATGACGATCCTTTTCCCTTTCGGCTTCTCTTTAACCTCAAGTTGAAATGACGAAGCATAGTGTTGTACTATTAGTTAACGAAACCGTTGGGAATTATAGCCGCGAGGAAGCCCTGCTCCCAGATGCTACCTCTCTTAGTCTACCACCCAAGACACTCACTATGCATCCTTAGGCAGGGGTTGTGTCGATTCGTGCGGACTCCTACGAAACCACTGAGCTCTTGTCGTGCCTATGGCGGCAACCGCAACGCGCACAACGGCCGAAAAACGAATAAATTTGTAGTGAGTTCAACTCCACCCCGCATGCCGCGTTTGGGGTTGGTTTCAACAGGCTCCAAGCACAACTCAGATTTTTCGAGTTCTGCCTTTGCGGGGGACAGGGCACTACCGAATAAGAAGCCTTTAACCACCGCAGCAGTGAAATTTTCTAGGGGTCCAGCCCATCCCACCTCACTTTCCAATCCCTTTTGCCTCTTGGAAGTTGTTCCTCGAGCGCCTCTTAGCAATAAGGAAGCTACCATTCTTGAGCTGAGTTCTGCAGACCTAACATCGATGACAACGGAGGAGATCACACAGTTCGCTCTGCACTCGCGTTATCCTGATTCCTGTCCACTCAAAGACTTGGATACGGCGGCGCTTCTAGGAAATCAGCAGGAGCGTTTGCTTGGTGAGCTCGCACGCCGCGGCGCTATTAGGGAGATCTTAGAGTGCGCCGCCAATTGGCAGCGGCGTGGCCTTGTATATGACATGTTTTACGTTGCTCCCCGTACCACCACTACTTCCTCCTCTTCCTCCCCATCGTCAGCTTCCGGGGGTGTATCGAAGAACCCGGTTGTAAGGTCGAATGTTTCAAAATTTGAGATCATCGCCTACATTCGCGGTTTACTCTTCCCTCCTCTGCCTTCTCCTTCCCCTGAACTTCCACCAGACGCTGCCGGTCGCACGTCTTCCTCTCAGGGCTTTGAGAGGGGCGGGGACTCCGCTAAGCGCGATGCGTGGCAATACGCCCTCGAGCATTTTCCCCTTCTCTTTTCCCGCTGTGTGCGGGATAGCTCTGCCGTGGAGCGGTTTTTGCAAATGGTTGACCCACATACGGTACTCCAAACCGTTTCATTTCTTCTTTTCACCTTGGAAGGACTCACGCCGTGGCGGCGGCGGTTAAGAGTGGAGGGCTCCCCTCTGCAGTCGGACAGTCGAGGAGGTTCCACCCATGCGGCCGACTTATTAATTTCTGCTGGGCAGGAGCTGCTGTGCAACGCAGAGGTGATTTGGCGGGCGGTGGCAATGATATTGCGCACATTCCACCCTCACCTGCTTCGCGAGACGACAAAAACCAAGGGGGATCTTCTGAGAAACGTGCGGCGCGCTATTCAGAGCACTTACGTGTTCGCGCACATCCCCGCGCAGTCCACGTCGACAGGAGGAGGGCCGCAAAGGGAGGCCTTTTCCAGGAAAACCAGCGCTGCACTTCGCTCCGTGGTTGAGTCGACGTGTTCGGCGCTATTGCACAACGAGACCCACGTGCGCGAGATGCGCCTTTTCACCTTCGCGTCGCTGTCGTTGCTCCTTTTGGGGTTTGACCGCAGCCCGCCGAATGCGCTGGTTCAGTGCATGTTTTTATGCCTTTCGGATGAGGGGACCTCGTCGAGCATGCCGCCGCTTCTCTCGGGGTTTTCCCACACCGATAGGCCGTTGGCGTCGCCCGAGGGGGGGGCTGGACGGCGGCGGGAAACCTCTCTCACCCGCGCGGTCGTCGACTTTATCGAAGCCGATCCTGGGCAGCGATGGGCACCTGCGCTGCGGCTTCTGCAGCATTCCCATCGCTCCCGTTCCTTTTGGGTGACCTCATCGCACCTCCGCAGCCTCCTGAACGGGCTCCAGGGCTGCTCAAACGAGAACACATGGCGGCAGGCCCTATCCTGCGCCGACTTCTTCCTAAAGACTTTCAGTGTGCGGCCTGACGACGCCACCGCGTCGATTTTGGTTTCGAGACTCCAACAGAATTCATGGCAGCGCGCGTTCGACGTGCTTCGCTTTTACACCCCGTCGGGCACCCTCCCTGGGCCTTCGATTGTCCACGATCTGCGTGTGATCGCGCGCGAGAACGGGGCC